AACAATTTTCATAGTGACGCGGCTGATATATGGCGACAGAATATTCATGCTGATACAGTTTACAATCACGTAAACACGATAATACCTAAATTTACATAATGGCTAATGGATCTAAATATAACTGAATAAATTTAAAATTACAAGTATGCATTGTTAATTTGTAGAAATACCACTAAATGGAATTTGGTGGCTATACCATAACACAAAAATTAGTGTTGCTGTTTTCAAAGAAGAGAGACCATTACATGAGTATGTTTTAACGTTATCATCAGATTATGTATATAAATCTTTGCCTTCCAAAGTTTTCTCAAAAGTCCGAAAGTGACTTTTGACTCAAAAGTCCGACTGTGATATAAAAGAGATATTATTTATATTATATCAATAATATAATATAATCTCATACAAAACTGGTAAAACCAAATTGAAAAGTAAAACACAGCGAAAACATCTAAAATAAAGGAAACTTGAAAGTTGTGGCATAAGAATACTAGAACCAGATTTGACAGTGACCCAACATATGAATAAAGTGCACATAAATTTAGTTCCAGTATTCTTATGCCACAACTTTTAAGTTTCCTTTATTTAGATTTTTTAATTATTTTTCAGTCATCAATTGAATAACTTCGTAATAGAATAGTTTCATGATAATTCTATTTCACTTGACAGTCACACGATAACTGATTGATTAATATGCCAAAATTTAAAAAAAAATCCATCAACGAGTTGCGTAACTTTCCCGACTGCTAAAAAATAACTTTTACAATATATTTTTAATTATAATAAATAAAATTGTGTGTGGCGCCATCTTGTTATGAGATTTTGTTATAAAACATCTTTTTATATTTTTAATTATTATAAAATGGCAAAAAGATTAATTTTGAGAGTATGAGTTTTATAAAAAAAATATCACCATTAAATACGACCCTACTAAGCTACACACGACTCCCATTACCTCCCTACCCCTAGACTTTTAACCACCAAAATTTAATAGCATCAATACTCTTAATAAAGAAACTTCCATGCAAAATTTCAGAATTTTCGGCACAGGAGTTATTAAGCTTCAAACAGGATGAGCAAAATCGTGCCTCATCACACACCCACTAACATTCATACATAGAGAAATTACCCCAATTTTTTTGCACTTGTCTACCTTTCAAGGAATCCTAAGTCCAAAAATGTAAAAATCTGGGGAGTGATATTTTTGCCGGATCGCCATATATTCCCTCTGTATAACAGCCGGGAAAGTAAAGAGATTTTTAATTATAAAAGTATTAAAAAATAATATTTTTCAAATTTAGATTAATTTGAAAAATATTATTTCGTAGATGCTAACTACATACAACTGTTTATTAAAAAAAAATACTAATTAAGGCACTTCGAAATTTAAAAGAAATCAAGATGTATATGTTACAGTCAAAACCCGTTTTTAGTTAGAACGCGTTTAACTAGTTGAAACTAGTTTATACTGAGTGTCTTTGTTAAAACCCGTTTTGTCTAGTTAAAACTAGTTTTAACTCAAATTCATTTTTGACTACAGTAAATTCTAGTTTTAACTAGACAAAACCGGTTTTGTCTAGTTAATTTACTGCTGTACATGTTTTGACTTTAGATAAAACTAGTTTTAACTTTTAACATTAGTTAAAACTAATTTTAGCTACATAAATATGTTTGGGGGAAATAAAGTTATGTATAGTGATT